ATTCCTTAATGGTGATTTTTTAAAAATGGACTTTGGGACAAACTCAACTCCAAAAGTTTGCTCATAATGCGAGTATATTGCTAAGATAATGTAAGGAGATAAACAAATTCATTAGTCGACCAATATGGGACACTAAACCCCCTTCCTCCTCCTCAGGATTGACAATTGGAGCTTGGGGCTTAACTCAACAAAGTTAGCTCATAATTGCTCAAAAGTCAAAGCCATGACAAACAACTCATCTCTCAACCAATACGGAATACTTGACAATGGGTAACCGTAAAACTGCATTTCAAAGATTCACCCATTTAGGCATTTCCACTTTCACATATACATTAGTCTCCCCCCCCCTCCCTCCCCACCAGCCTCCTCAAATCTTCTCCAAATCCCAGTAGAATGAAAAAAGTTGAAAACTTGTAACTCCTTATAGTGAAATTACTAAACATACAAATATGGGGTTCTTGATTCTTGAACAAAAGGGGGCAAAAATTCATCCAAAAAAATAAAAATAAAGGGGTGAATTGAGGAGTTACCAGCAATCAAAGAATCAAGAGAACGCGGCTGAGAATCATCAGCAGCAGAGGTAGATTTCGATTGATTATCAATGGCTTCGCTCTGCACTTGTCCCATTTCTTTCCTGAAGAAATTGCTTCGTCTTTGTTGACGCCTCAAAATATAGAAAGGCTTAAGAAGAAGACTTGGTGTGTCTAAAAAATTCAATTGACACTTTAGTACCCTAAAGTTTTTGTCAAAGTTGTTTTATACGGACTCGAGTGTGGGTATTCGATACAATATAAATGATTGTATTTGATAAAATCAAAATTTTAAAATTTGAGGACATAGATACGGATGTTGGAATTTGGCTTAAAAGAATCAAAATTATAAAATAAAGTTGTAAGGCTATTCTAAATTTTGAGAGATATTATGTGAAAAACTTATCAGGATATTATAAAATTTAGTCTTCCATTATCTAGTATGGGCGTTAAGTACATAAATTAGTTGTCAAAAAACCATCATGTTAATAATTAATTTAGAAATAATTTCCTTTTTTATGAGAAAAAATATATTTATAGACAATGATTTGTTGACGAAGAGAAGAGATGCCATTTTTCATGTCTTAAAATCTATTTTAAGAAATTAAAGTCTTAACTCTTCCTTGTGGATTGATCGAATTCTACTATTCTAGTATTGTGTCAAGCCGAGTTCGACAACATAAATAAATAAAGAGTTCACACATCTCAGTATCTCACTATAATAGTCAAGTTTTTTTCGAAATAATTTTTTTATGTTATAGTTTACCTTAATAACAATAATACATTCTTGGTAAAATTATTCCATATAATAGCTCTTTTTTTTTATTGGTAGTATAATATACTACTAGTAATAATTAACCGTCTTTACAAAAATATAATCTATAAGATGACAATAATAGATCTAGATAAGTTTGGCTAGATATCATATACAATACTTAAAATTGAAATAGTTATATACAGATACAATGTGAAACATGCATCGAGAGAGGGAAACGAGAGAAGAAGAGAAGGGAGCGAGAGAGGAGAAAGGCGAGTGAGAGAGGAGTGTTACTAAATTCTGAGTTCTACCCATTGGATCAAGTCAACAAACCAGTCAGAAGGAAATCATTGCATATCATAAGGAATTCGAACAACGGTCTCAAATACAATATCTGGAAGTACCACTTCCTCATAAGAACGGGGAATCAAAATCGACTATTCCCCCTCCTTCCATGTAGCTTCTCTTTCTCAGAATAGATGAAACCGTTGTTACTTATTCTTCAAATAAAAGGGAGCCTAAGAGCAACAATAAAGTTGTCTCGTGTGACCTATAGGTCACAGGTTTGAGCTGTGGAAGCAGATACTAATGCTTGCATTAGAGTAGCCTGTCTACATTACACCCCTCGGAGTGCAGCCCTTCCCTAGATTCTACTAACACAGAATGCTTTCTGCACCAGAGCAAAGTTATTAAAAAAAAACTAGTTTTTGTTGCATGAGGACCAAATAAAGAACAGTGTGTAAATGTTGCAGTAAATGGTAAAGAAAAGGAAATCCAGATTCTCTGTGTTAAATTTTGTACATCAAACCAGTGATGAGGGAATATAGAGAAAAAAATTTCATTGGGACGGTGGGTTTGGAGATCTTTTTTGGCAGAACAATCGAAAAGGAAGAAAGAAACGACCAATTTGGCGTTTTACAGGAGCAATCAGGAAAAAACACAGCATTTGTTGATCTGCTGCAGATTTACTACATAGCTCTGCAATGCACTGAAGCAGCACTTCGTTATTCATAGTGGTGGATCGATTACATTGATCTAGTGAAATTACCTTGGTATGGTAGCAGACGGCTTGTGAGTAGATTGAATCTGGCAGGTATAATCAGCAAGTTGAAGAATCAAGAAACTAAAAGTAGCATAAGTAATAAGCCATGGAAAGATCACTCCTCACGACATGAACAGTACTGCAAGATCATAATGAACTTTAGAAGTCCAAATATGAAGGAAGAATATGTAATTCCATGAAAATTTCGAAAGTGCAAGTGACATTCGATATATTGCAACATAAATATTGAACAAAATGTCCTCCAGAAAGGCAAATCAAGAATGCTAATCAATTGACAAGTAAGCCATTTCAAAATGGCAACTTCTAACTATTTTATTTGCTCGGTAATCAGCTGACTTCTCAATGATCAATACAACGACGACACATCAAGTGTGATCTCACAAGTGGAGTCTAGGGATGTTAGAGTATACGCAGACCTTACCCCTACCTTGTAAGATCGAGAGGCAATTTCCGATAGACCCTCAGCTCAACAAAAACATTTCAAAACATGTTTGAAAAATACAAAGTGAAAGAAGCTTTAACAATTCATTGCACACAAATTCCTACATATCATTTTTCACATAGCATGATGAATTCACATAGTGAAAAGATATATAGGATTCATACAACTATTACCAAACTCGTTTGGAATTGAGGCATAGTTGATTGATTGCTCAATCGGTCATCATGAATTGCTACTAACAAGGCGGGCACCAACTCGATCAAGCTTCTTCACCATAGCCAAAGCCTTCAAGTTCCCTTCCTTCATAAACGCCTCCACCATTCTCTCCCCAATCTCCCTCCCTCTCTCTTCATCATCCGTCACTGCAACCAAAGTAGGTCCAGCTCCGCTTATCGTGCAACCAAAAGCCCCAGCCTTTAACGCCGCCTTCTTCACTCCCTCCATCCCAGGAATCAACGGCCCTCTCCTCGGCTCCACAATCTTATCAGACGACAACGCCTTCCCTAAACCCCTCGAATCCCCCTGCAATATCGCAGCCACCAACGCCCCAGCCTGACTACAATTCCATATATGATGCGACATTGTCACCTCCGATGGTAATACCGCCCTCATCTTCTTGGTTGGAGCTTCAAATTCGGGATTCACAAGCACAAAAAACAAATCTTTTTCAAATGGAAACTTCAATGGAATCAATTCCAACGGATCATAACTTCTTATCAACACAAAACCACCCATAATCGAAGGTGCTATATTATCAGCATGATAACCCGAAACCTTCGTTTCCGATTCCAACCCAGCAAGCACAAGATCATCAACACTCAACTTCCGTCCAAAAATCTCATTCACAGCCACCGCCGCCGCCGCAGCACTAGCGGCACTAGACCCAAGTCCACTACCCAACGGCAACCCTTTTTCAAGCGAAATCGATAAACCAACAGACTGTATATTCAACATCTTCATAACAGAAATAGCAGCTATTCCAGCACAATTTGATAAAGGGTCTTTACTAAGCCTATTTCCGGCACCGGAGATATCAGAAATCGAAACCTCTCCAGCTTTAACATTTGGGTCAACCCGAAGAGTGACAAAATCTCCGACTCCATCAACGGCGCATCCAAGGAAATCAAAACCCGGACCTAGATTAGCAACAGTGGCCGGAGCAAACGACTTGACGGAGGTGAAAACGGGTTCGGGTTCGGGTATGGTGATATGGGTTTGGGTTTTAGAGGAAACAGATGAGAGATTGAATCCAAATGAGAAATGGGTATTGATGGGATATAGAGAAGGAGGATTTGAGAAGCCATTAGAAGTGATGAAGTTGAGTTTCATGGGAGATTGATAGGTTATAGCCATTGATGTGAGAGTTCAGAGAAGGAGAAGAAAGACAACAAATGGAGAAAAAAGGGTTTTTAGGTATATTTCCATATTCAAGATTTCCTATATAGAAAAGTTAATTTTTTCTATTTTATTTTTATACTATGATATTTGACTAATAACCAAACTTTATAAAAAAGATAGGAGTACATAATACCTAATAAATAGTTATCTATAAATTTCATTTAGACATGTGACTTATATGAGTATTAAAAGGAGTAGAGTCACATCCATTCGATAAAAATAGAGTATTCAATTTTACTATCTGAATATAGTAGAATTAAAAGTGACATGAAATTATCAAATTGAATCGAGTTTAGGCCATTACTAGTCCAACTAAGACGACGCTAAACTAGTTTCATGATATGAACCTAGCCCAACCTTGCTTGCACAATGAGGGCTAGTTCAGTTCGACTAGTGAGACATAACACATATCTCGTAAAATTAATCAAAATATATATAAACTAGTTTGAATAATATATTTATAAATTTTTAAAAAGTAATAAAATGTTATATGAATCATTATAGAAGATTTTTTCTTAAATTATTTTATGTGATATTCAATATCCACATTAAATCTTGACTGAATAAAATGTTTCCGATAAAAATGACTCCCTAAGCAAGGGCACTTATAAATGAAATCTCATCCTATTTTCACTCGATCTATGTATTAATTCCAAAAAAATTATTTGTTGAAATAATTTCATTTCCATTTTAAGATATAAATATTTCAAGATGATTATAAAAAAAAAAAAAAAATTTAAAAAAACTTCATTTGTTTTATCTTTTATTTATTCAATTTAAAATACATACTTATTTTAATTTCTCTAATTTCTTAGTAGGAGTATAAATTCTTCTTTCTGGGGTTTATGCCTTTTTCCCCAAAACAGCGAGTGAAGAAAAAATTTCAGTGAACTCTAGAAGAGAAAATCGAACTTCCCCAAATCTTTTGGAACGGAGCAGCGATCGGAGCAAAGACAGTGGGTGGTAGTGAAAGAGTAGAGGAAGAATCAAGAATGGGAAGCCAACCTGCACAAATTCCGACCAGTTTTGGGCATGAACTGAGAGCTTGTCTCCGTTGCCGTCTTGTTAAAACTTATGACCAGGTATGAAATCCCCTTTTTTTATAAACCCTTTTGAGATTTCTTCAATACCCATCAATTTGTTTTTGTTGTTTCGAACTTTTTTGTTAAGGTCATGGGTTCAAGTAGTGGAAACAGTCAGAAATGTAGTATGCAATAGATGCTTGTGGTCCAGTCTTTCCCTGAACCCTGTGTATAATGGGAGATTTAGTATACTGGGTTGCCCTTTAACTGCATCGCGATGTTGGGTAGGCTGAATGTATCATTTGTATCAACTTCGTCACATTTAAGGACTGATGAATTAGGGTTCATTGTAGTTTGATGATATTTTATGTTTTTGTATTGGGTTTGGAATATAATGTGCTTTTCCTTCAAAAGGAGGAGTCTTTAACATTTTTAAGGAAAAAAAGGAGTAAAATATGTCATAGCCTTGGTGGACAGAGTTAGCGGGTACTGGTGAGAGGTGGCAGGTATCACATGGAAGTTGAGGTACGCGCGAAAGCTGGTCCGGACACCACGATCATCAAAAAGAAAAAAGGGAGTAAAATAGGTTTATTTATTTCTTCAAATGGGGTAGGGGAAGGGGAAATGTGGGAGGGGATTATACGGGGGGAGGGGGGGGATCAAACCCTCACCAACAAGGTGAAAGTTCAGTTAGTCAACTAACTGAGGTACTAAGATTCCCAAGTAGGTTTTTTATTGGATGTACTTGTACTGGGGTTTATGTTTTTGATGGGTGATTTACTGGTAATGCAGTTTAGGGAATCAGGATGCGAGAACTGTCCTTTCTTCAAGATGGATGAAGATCATGAGCGTGTAGTGGACTGCACTACTCCAAATTTTACTGGGTATGTTTATGTGTAGTTTATTTTTATTTAATATATCCCTTTTCTTTCTTCTTTGTTTTGTTTTTAGGTCAATAAGTTTTTCTTGTTAGTAATTTGGGAGCTATTGTGTCACAGTTTAATCTCTGTCATGGATCCAACGAGGAGTTGGGCAGCTCGATGGCTTCGAATTGGTATGTGAAACCTCTCTTACATATATTTGAGTTTTTTAATTGGTCTTTCTTACATTATTATAATTTTGACTAACTTTGGTTACTCCTGTGGTATATATTTTGAGTTTGAAACGTCAAACTATATTTAGAAATCAGCTTTACTGCTGATCTTTGGAATTTATTTAAGAGGCCCATGTTAGATGGTTGTATATTGTGTCTAAGTGGAAATACCCAAGGGATGTTTCCTTTGCCACTTTCTGCATGTGCCGTCCATACTTAGCAGCATGTTGCTCCAAGGTTAAAGGGCAGAATCTCTGACACTAGCTTTTTGCAAAATGATTGGAAGTTTTTTGAAAGGACACTGTAGTGGGTTCGTGACTCTGGGTGTGTTGGTCTTTTTAATTTTTTGATGACAAGGGAACCCGCAGTGGCTACCCTTTGGGTGCGCACAGGGTAAAACCCCCGCTCATATGCAATAGCTTGCAAACCACACAGGAGAGGTCACCCGCACTAGGCAATCCCGAGGGTAAACTCCTTGCTTTTGCTTGCAAGGGGTTTCGAACTTGAGACCTCCAACATGCAAGTCCCATGCCCAAACCACTGGGCCACCCTGAATTGTTGGGTGTGTTGGTCTGTTTTTAAGCTACGTCAGTAGATACATCTCAATTTATTGATTTTGGTCTTCTTGTAGGTTTTTTTAATCAGGGAAGTGATTATTCAGAGGACTTCTTTTTTTTTTTGAAAAGGTAACTTGTATTATAAACACAGGAATACTCAGGACGTATTCCAGTAATACTTACAATCAGAAATCAGAGGACTTCTTGTTCATAACTTTTTTTCTTTTCCTCATAATTGAGTTCACACATTGGTTACTAGAAACTTAGTATAATTATATCTTATTAGTTTACTACGCCCGTATATCTTATACACATGTCTTTCTCTTCTTTCCAAATGATTTAGAGTTCATCGTTAAGAGACATACGTTTCTGAGTAAGGTGAACAGTTGTCTAATCCTGACTATCCCATAGTGCATCAACTTTGGTTAGACTGTGTAACATTTGGAAACTATGCATAGTAGAACTTCAATAGACTAGGCAATAAAGAGCAGCGGTCTTGATTAGACAAGAATGATCTTGGATACAAGTTTATGCCCAAGTCTTCCAAAATGCAAAGATTGATGATATTATGCATTAGTTCACATTGTATCTTCTTGGAGAATGGCTAGGAAATTTAGTGAATGAGGAGAGTGCCTGCCAGATCTTAAGGAGCTCTCTAAATGAAGTACCCAAAAATAAAAGAGAGTACTAGGAAAGATCTGATTATCAGAAATAAAAGGAAAGGATCTGATTTTCTGACTTCTCTTTATACATACTCTAATAGATTTTATCAAGCTAAGAAGCTCCTCTTAAGGTAGTCAATGCCAGACAACACTCCATTTTTTTATTTTTTTTTATGACAAGGGAAACCCGCAGCCGCTACCCTTTGGGTGCACACAGGGTAAAACTCCCCCTCCTATGCAATAGCTCGCAAACCACATAAGAGAGGTAACCCGCACTAGGCAAGCTTGGTGCGACGAGCTCGACCCAGAAGGCAAACCCCTTGCTTTTGTTGGCAAGGGGTTTCGAACTTGAGACCTCCAACATGAAAGTCCCAAGCTCAAACCACTAGGCCATTTTTTACCAAGCTGTTTCACTTCTATTAGCTTGAGATGCAGTGAGTTGCATTCTATTTTCCAAGTGATGCTTTTATAAGTTGGAAATCCAGAATAGATGAAGGAATTTGGTGTTAGCCTGTACTTGGTAGAAGTTTCACATGCCCAAGGCTCCAAACAATGAAGAATGCACACGCACTGTATACATGAACAAATGAGGTGTGACAATTTGGAGATTTAGAGGCTTAGAACTTATTATTTATCCTTGTTTGATATCTTAAAAATGTTCCATTTGAGTAATTAGAACATGCAAAAAAGGGTGAGAAGGTTCTGATCTTCTGGACCACCTAGATTTATAACTAGCCTTCCTGAGTTACTGATTTCAGGTTCAGACTAATTCTACAAAGTAACAAAACTAATGTCTACTTATCAATTAAGCTTTTGACAAAAAAAAATCAAGCATTTGATTGCAAATTGAATGAGTAGGTGAAATTGCAATAGTAAAAAAGCTAAGCGGTGATGCTTGTATTTTTTTCTAGGCCATTCAATGAAAGTCTTCACAAAGGGAAAGCAAATAGGAATATGAGAACTAACACTACGATAATTGTGTGCTTTGCTCTTTATGCTAGTGACTGTGAGCTAATGTTTTGTGTCTGTATGTTGGGAATATCCTTTCATCTTTATCCGTTTTATTGTTTATTTAGTGTTGTATAATGGGGCATATTGTTAACTTGAATTATTTTTACTAAATATTTGCAGCACGGTATGTCCCTGGTTGTTACACACTTGCTGTATCTGAGGCACTTCCAGAAGATTTGCAGGTTAGTGATTCAAGATGGTTGCTACTACAAAGTCCTTGTCTTTCATCAGATATGCTAAAATTTCAAGTTTTGGACTAGTTAGCCATTTCATTTTATTCTTTTACTTTTAATTGTCTTGTCATTCCTGTATTATATTAGTATAAAGTATTAACTATTCCTTTCCCAGTCAAATATTTGGGCATCCTAGGTTGTTAGTATTTGAAATTCCTTTAGGTTGGTGAGGTCAACTATCTGTGTGTTGGCTTTACTTAGACTTGTAAAACTAACTGAATTCTGTTATCTCTTCCCATTCCGATGAGTTATTGCGGAAGTTTATTTACTGTTGGTGAGATAGGGGCCTAGGATCTCTGTCTTTGTCAAAGCAACTTAGAGTTGGCTAATTATATTAGTGTCACTTTGGGAGCACAACTCCTAAGTATTTGGGTAATGAGTATATGCCAAATTAAATTCAAGTTAGCTTTGTAGATGAGATTTTTATTTGTAGTCGCAGATTTCTGCAACGTTTAATATGCTAGTTTACACGTCCTAATTTAAGTTATCCATTTTATTTTGCATAGTTATTTACTTCTATATTTTCTGCAGAATCTTTGTGAGGATGAACATATCCCGTATGCTCCTCCAAAACGCATCTGATCCAACAAACCAGCAATGAAAACATCAGCAGATTTTGGGTTTTGACATGGGAAGTACTCCCATTTTGCAGCGTCAAAGTAAATCCCGGGACAAATGTTATGTAATTAAGATAACGAATTACTGAAATTATCATTAACCCCCCTAATCTGGAAACTAAACATGTTTTATGTCTGAATATCTCTCTGTTATCTGTGTTTGCATGCTCATCTGGTGAACTCTCATGTATTGATGTTGTGTTTATGTGACACTAAAATTTTGTGGAGATGTGTTTGGAGTAGAAATGGTTTCGTGTAAGCATTTTCCCAGCCAACTCTGAACACCAATGTTGCTCGGACTCTTAAGAAATATCGATAGGTATGTGTCGGATCCTCCAAAAATAGTGTATTTTTTAAGGATCCGACACGGGTGCGGCAACTTTTTTGAGAGTCCGATCAACTTAGATGAACACTATTTGTTGGATGTTATATGGTTTGCTAGTAGTAGCATCAACCTATTTTGGCATTCAACATGTATTATGTTACATAGATACATGTGTGTCCATTTGTTTAACTTTATACGAGTTTAAATGTATACTTTTGCACACTTGAAGTTGCAAGGCATAAATGTCACGTTTATGTATAATGTGATAATTTATAGGTTAATAATATTACCATCCAAAACATAGTAGGGTTGAAGTTTTATGTTTGATACTTTCACCATCCATATCTCCTAAGAGATTGTATTTTGTCGTCTAAATTCTCTTTTGAAAGTGAGATGCCGGCTTTTATAAGAGGAAACGTCGCTTTGTTCACGGAGTAGATGTGTCGTTTAACTAGAAACTTCACTAAATGAATGATCCACGTGATGAAATTTCTCTCTTAAAAAGAATATATTTCTTCTTTCGACGTTTTGTGTATTTGATATTTCATCACAACATGGTAGGGTAGGACTTTGTCATCTAAATATGAACTTTAAACTTTTTCAAGGGGCAAATGTTATATTACAAACAAAAATAATAATATTATATATATAAAAAAAATAAAAATATTCTATGAACACGACTTATTTGTCATTTTGTGAAAGTTGAGGGTCAATTTGTACATGCAGCAGTTTTCCACGTCTCCTTTATTTCCATTTTTATATAAAGAAAAATCTGATCGCAAATATTTAAAAAGGGAAAGATTTAAATTATACAAAATGATTATAAATTTATTCTTTATTTGATAATAGAGTTCGAACATTTCATACCATTACGAAGGACAAACTTGATAAGGATGGAATATAATTGACCCTAATAATAAATAGAGTGATAAATCTAAGAATGATTTTTCTTTTGACTTCTAAATAAAAGAATTTGTCAATAATTATATTTTATTGTTAATTATGTTATAAATTTTATTTGTAAATAACGAATTAATTATTATTTTGTTGCAAATACACCAAAATTTCTTATTGTGATTTTTAAAAACTTACATTATTTTTTAATCAACCTAAATTTCTAACTTTCATACATTACTATTCAAACTATATAAAATTGATATGATTATATTTTATCATCTAAATTTATTGATTTGATACTTTATCCTCCAAACTTAGTAGTATTTTTATGCTATGATTAAATTATATTATCAAGTTTTCTGGATAAATTTAATACTTTATCATGATATCATAGTGAAATTGTGTTTCACAGTTTAAATTCTAGAAATTTATGCACTTTGTCATTCTATTTGATGAACCTAATATTTTCAAGTAACAAATCTTATCTTGCAAAAAAAAAAAAAAAAAGAAGCAATAAATTAAACTTTAATTAGAAGTAATGAAAAAATAATAATTTGAAGTAATGAAAAAAAAAAAAAAAAAAAGAATTGTATCCTACAAAACAAAATGTGATTGAACTATATAATAATAAAGAATTCTGTCTTTTGGGGGATGGAGGAGTCAATCAGGAGTCAGGACTTCGAAGCACTATAATTGAGTAAAATAATGATATTAGCATATAGTATATTTGATGGGAAATCTTTGGTGGGCTCCATGGACACTAACCCCCCCCCCCCCCCCCCCCCCCCAAAAACAAAAAAAAAAAAATTTTGGGCTCCATGGACACTAACCCCCCCCCCCTCCCCCTCCCCCAAAAAAAGAATAAAAAAAATTAAGATTACAAGAATTTATTATAAAAAAAAATTGTAAAACGACTATTTTCAAGGCTCGTGTGATCGGTACATATCATAACAATGTTATTAGTTACGCCTAAAGCTTGCATTCATGATGTCTTGTTTTCAATTCCAATAAAACAAAATGTTAGCGGGAAAAATAGATATGTTCATCATTGATGGACGAGTCTAATTAAATTAAAGAAAAAATAAATAAAAATAAGATAATCGTTACCTGAATATTGAGACATTCAATTTTGTTTTTTAAAAGTGCACTTAATAATTACAACACTATAAGCCAAGTGGAGCATGCATGAAGTAGTCAGATGCTTCTCCTATTCTTTTCCCTGGCGTAGCTGGACCATCCTGGACTTGAACCAGAGACCTCGCCCGTGAAGTAAAACACCGCATCTACAGTCCAACAATTGGGAGAGAATCAATAGATTCCTTTTCGGGAGCGATTCAATTCTTCGAATATGAATGCGCTCGCACTTGAAATTTTTTATGACTTGAATCTTCAATATTCTCTTATTTATTACATGTGTCATTATACCTATCAAAATTAATTTAATTATTTGTTGATGGGCTTATAATAAAGGATGGAGTCAAAATTAGGAGGCCACGTACAGTATCCATATGGGCCCAATAAAGCCCATTGGGCCACGTGGAACACATGTCAATATCAGCAATACAAAAGTATCTTTCTAAAGTTGATTCCATAATATTCCATTTTACTTTTTCTTAAATTAAACAATTATAAATAATTGAAACAGAGATCAAATATACTTTCACTTACACATCTGATAGTCTAAAGCTTAAAAACGTTAATTTAATAAATTTTCGTTGAAATATCAATATTTAATATGCTAAATTTATAATATTAAAGACTACAATCAAATGAAATTCAAAATAAAATTTTAATAGAGTAGCTCGTTGACTTCCAATCTAAAATTTATAATAGTATAATTGTAACTTCTAATCTGAATACCAAATAAAATATTTATCAATGTTTATCCTAAATTTAAAATAATATATCTAAACATTAAAAATATATTAACAAAGTAAATCATAATTAATAATTTTTATACTTATTTAATTCGAGCTCGATTTGACTTTTTTTGTTGTGGTTACCAAATCAATTTATCAATATTCTATACTTATATAATAAAGGATAAAAGAGGAAATATATTTCATAATTTTGTGATTAGAACATATAACATGCAATTAGTCACATTTATATTTCTTGGAGAATAAGAAATATAATACTTACTTCTTCTCAATTTATCTGACACCTTTTAATTTAATGTGATATTTTAAAGAAGAGAAACTTTTAAAATTTGTGATTTTTTGAAACAATCTTTTGATATTCATACAATTATAAATTATTTTTAATTATAATAACATAATATTTCTTTTTTTATAACAGACTAAAAAGAAAAAAATGTCAACGCGGAGCACGAAATTGAAAGGGCATTTTGTAGGCTACAGTCAACATCGGTCACTTGTATAGAGCAAGCAGCCCACCGTTTAACAAGCATCTTTTTCTTACATGTCGCCTCTCTCTGCTTAGCACTTTTCCTACTTATCCCTATAAAAAGAAAAGCAGCTAATTGTGTTTTGTGTTTAGTTTCAGACCTTATAGTTGAATCTGGCAAAAGCACAAGAAACAAACAGTAGAACTAAAATCTTGAAGGGGTGGTTTAGCTTGATCTGTAGCTTTTGTTAGTGACTGGTGAGGTCCTTTTCCCCATTTATTTGGCTATGTTATACTTGTGGAAATCTTTGGTTTGTTGTAAAGTTTTCATTTTGGTGATTTTGGTCATTTGGGTATGTGATTTAGTGTTATTTTTGTTGATCTGTAGCTTCTCCTGGTGACTGGTGAGAACTCTTTTTTGTTTTTTTGTTTTTGGCTATGTTATGCTTCTATGACTTGTGCAAATCTTTGTTTTGTTGTAAAGTTTGATTTTTGGTGATTTTGGTCATTTGGATATATGATTTAGTGTTCTTTTTGTTGATCTGTAGCTTCTCTGGTCACTGGTGAGAACTCTTTTTTTTGGCTATGTTATGCTTATATGACTAGTGCTAATCTTTGGTTTGTTGTAAAGTTTTCATTTTGGTGATATTTTCTTGTTTTTGGTCATTTGGGTATTTGATTTAGTGTTCTTTTTGTTGATCTGTAGCTTCTCTGGTTATTGGTGAGAACCTTTTTTTTTTTTGCTATATGATGCTTCTATAACTTGTGCAAATCGTTGGTTGGTAGTGAAGTTTTCATTTGGTGATTTTTTTCTTGTTTTTGGACATTTGGGTATTTGATTTAGTGTTCTTTTTGTTGATCTGTAGCTTCTCTGGTGACTGGTGAGAACCCTTTTTTGTTTTTTGGCTATGTTATGGTTCTAAGACTTGTATAACACCTTGGTTCATTGTAAAGTTTTTAATTTTTTGGTGTTTTTTCTTGATTTTGGTTTTGAGTATTTGATTTAGTGTTCTTTAAGTTGATCTGAAATTCCAGATTGAGAAATGGAACAAGATTTTTTGCTTTTGATGAACTTGTTATGCTTCTAGGACTTGTGCAAATTCTTGGTTTGTTGTAAAGCTCTCTTTTTGGTCATTTGAGTATTTGGTTTAGTGTTCTTTTACTTGATCTGAAGTCCTAGATTGAGAAATGACACAAGTTCTTTGTGTTTGATTTCTTCCTTGTCACATCGTTGATGATGTTTCATTGTTTCTTCAATCCCCTTTTTTTTGTCTCCTTTATTTGAAAGTTCAAGACTTCACTTCTATATTTGTTCTCAGAGAAAGTGTTTTGGTTTAATTTTTTTTGTTATAGGGAGATGTGTGAAGTCTTGATGAAGATTCTTCCAATTTCCCTTTTATCCATGCTATTAAGTTGTGGAAGCACATTGATTTCTTGAATCACAGCACTGTGAAAAGAACATCTAGGTGATAGAAGGGCCCTGGAATCCACATATCTGTTGTTTATATTCCACTTGTATGCTATGTTGTCCCGTCTCTTACAAAATGCTGCTGGGGGTTATCGAATCCTCCAAAAGTAGTGTTCTTTTTGAGGATCCGATACGAGTACGACAACAATTTTGGGGAGTTCGAGCAACATAGCTTGTATGTACAGTTGATGTA